CACCCCCTTGGACCAGTCTGAGAGACTTGATGATTTTTCTGGGGGTAGGGGGAGTTGCACTGAGTATTTTTCCATCAACAGTTGTTGGTGGTTTTGCTTATTATTAGTTGGAGATTTTTTTTCCCCCTGAAATACGCGAAAATTCCATTTTTTCACCTCCTAGCACTTCCTTGGACCACTTTGAAAGACTTGATTATTTTTCTGGGGGTTGAGGGAGTCCTAATATCTTTCAATGGAAATTTGTTGGTGGTTTTGAGTGTTTTGGAGCCAACAATTTTTTTTTCTTTCACTTCAAGGAAAATCAATTTTTGCACCCCTCAAACATCAACAAGTAATGGTTCCAGAGGGGTAAGAATCTTCATGAATGCAGGGGGGTAATGTCTGAACATTTTCCGATGTCGATAATTGATTTTTACCCCGGTTTTTGAATCATGTGTGCACTGGGCCCCAGGGGATCATGATACGCCCCTGTTCTGCTGCCAAGTCGGCTGCTAACTTCAGCGTCATTTTCGTATGTCGAATCAGGATGAATATTGTTACGCGGAAAAAACTTTGAGATTTTATAAGTTGAGTTGAGTTGAAAGAAGTTTATATTTCGTGACTTAAAAAAATTGCATTAGTTTACAATAACAGAATCACAGATTATGGCAATTCAACACAAACTTGGATATCACAAATTACGTTCAATGTGATGTACGGTTCAAAAAACCGTACATCACATTGAACGAAACTTGACACTTGAAATTTGATACTTTTCAAATTTTGTGGTAAATACAAGTGACTTGACGCCAAGGACTGTTTTATTTGATTCAAGTAAATGTATCTCAAGAAGAAATAATTGATATTCACTGTAAGATCTTATTTATTTGAAATTGATATAAGTATATAAGTATATAATACTTGTTCCAAGAAAGAAACATCTCAATAAAAATAATTTTTTCTATCAGTGTATATGAGGGAAATGCCGCAACGCGTCGTTTTTCTTCAATTGCCATTGATTGGCTAACCGGAAAAAATTTTTTAAATTTCCCTTTTTCAATTGAAGTATCCAGAAAATTATAGTAATTTTTAGAAGAACATAATTCCAGAAATTCCTGAAGAAAACAAATTATTTTCAATCGATGAATTATTTTATCCCATATTAAATGACATTACCCGTCACGCGCCGTTGCCGGAAACTCACTAAACGCGCCCGGGCAGTGTAGAGTGAATTCGGCAACGCTGGAACGTAAATAACACGACGATGAATTCCCGCGGAGATGTCCAAAATCGCAGGGTCATCTATGGTCGCCAGACTAGGGTTAATTGCGTTTTCTTGAATTGACGTTTATGAAGGTTTATTTAGCCGTTGAGGTATGCGGTAGACTATTCTATGCGACGATCACTCGGCTAAAAATGCTGAGGATTGCTACTCTTGATTCCAATGATTTGTCATTCCAGGCGAATTAAAAAATTTTAACCGATTTTTCGAAAGTGATGCGATATAATAGTATATTTCGTTACGAGTGCAAAAAAGTGTTTTTTGGCGAGTGGGAGGTTTATATCACGAGCCGAAGGCGAGTGAGTGGGGACTTTGCACATGGTTTATATCACGAGCCGAAGGCGAGTGATATAATGCCACGAGCTAAAAAATATTTTTTCACGAGTTACGAACAATATTTTTCATCACAATGTGCCGAAAAGTTCACTTTTCGTCACAGCGTGATGAAAATATATATAAATGGATGCGTCTTGCATGAAAGTGCGCGCAGTACCGCGGAATGTGATAGCGACTCTGCGCCGATCGGTGAGTCCGAAGCGAGTTGGATAGCCGCCAATTTGTACCACATCCAAGAGTGTACATCTGACGTGCGGAGGACTTTGCACCGGTGGGAAGTTATAATTTCCCTCCTATTCTGTACTCATTTCGAAGCCCAATAAACATCGGGCAATGACCATGCATGAGTTTAACATTTGTTATTGCTCGAAAATGGTTTCAGAAAAAAACTGCATACTAAATTAATGTCAGATGGAATGAAACAAAAAACTGTGAACGATTTATAGGCCTACTCCCATTGATAGAATTTCATGAACAATAAAATATGACATGATGTTCATATGCATTTACAGAGGATGAATCTAAAATTACAGAAAATGTACATTGTTCATCTCACATAAAATTTTTCCAATAATTGTCTCATCACCTCCTCACTCATCAAGAGTTCAATAAAAAAAATCTAAGGGATGGCTTTTGAAAAGCCTCGTGAAGCGCAAAATTATGAGAAAAGAGAAGTGCAGCCACTCGATGTGGAAATTATCGACTTTTTTATTCCTCACCTTGCATTTCCGCATTCTCGTACGTGACGGGGTCAGTATCACGCACGTAAAAATGTCTGTTTTTTTCATTTTATATCTTTCACTATTGCGTCCTGGGGTATGTTAAGGACCTATTATCCTCGGATCAAAGAATCTCGTTCTTCCTTATTTGACATTTTTAATGTTCATTCTCCGATTTGATTACTCAGTAGAATTACAGAATAAATTTTGAAACAATCAATGAAAATGGTAAAAAATTGATATTAAAGAATTCTTTATTAAAATCAAGGAATTCTAACTGGGACTGATAATGAAAAATGTTAAAACCTGTACAAAACTCAAGATAACTGAGACCTCGACGGAGACTGACTGATTTTCACGCCTTTGCTTCAATCTAATTACTCAACAAAAACTTGAGAATCAATCAAAAACAAATTGCAAACATTAGGAATTATCACTTTGAACAATTCGAGCTAATCTCTTCTCAACAATGAGAATTAACTTTCTTAGGAATAAATTGCGATTGATAGAACTAAAACATGTAACACTATAAGAGCTGAGCCATGTGACGTTAGCATCGAAGTTGAAAAAAATCGAATTTTTCAAATGGCATATGATTATACTCGTTTAGTACCCAATTGTACCACAATTATTTTTTTTTGTACCCCCAACCCTTCCGCGTAAGGGATGGAGGGAAAATCGCTGGAGAGAAAGGAGCTGTCTCTCCAGAAATAATTACGATAACTATTAATGACCAACATCTAGAATTGAACAAAGATTAATGAATTTCTAGATTTCTACCTCAATTTGATTACCAAACAAAACCTCCAAAATTATTGAAATCATTGAGAATGAAAAATCTCGAAACTTATCGCTTCACACCATTCGCTGTAACCGTTCTGAATAAACAAGAAAAAAATAGAAACCATTGAAATATTAATCGCGATTATTGGCGCCTCTGGTGGATCACCTGCATAATGCCTCGTCTTGCGTCACCAGAAAGGAAATAGTATATTTCGTAACGAGTGCAAAAAAGTGTCTTTTGGCGAGTGGGAGGTTTATATTACGAGCCGAAGGCGAGTGCTATAATCCCACGAGCTAAAAAACATTTTTTCACGAGTTACGAACAATATTTTTCATCACAATGTGGCGGAAATTGGACTTTTAGGCACGCGGAGCGTGCCGAAAAGTTCACTTTTCGTCACAGCGTGATGAAAAAAAAATTCCGCATTCATGGTAAAAAAAACAATAGTACTCGCCTTCGGCTCGTGATATAA